TGGTATTGACGTACGAATCTTATTATTTTGAGGTTATGTTAGTTTGTTTTGTTTCCAAGAACGTGCCGGTCTGCAGAAAATAAGTGATTTGAAGATATACACCTAACAAAAACTTAATTCGTTGGTGTTTGTGAGATTTTATAGTCACCGTTTTTGATAGTTGTAAAAATGGATATAAGAATTGTGTAAGTAGCTCAATTTGTCAATTACTTCTGAATAACTATTACATCTAAGTGGCTAAAGTAACAATTATGCTCTAATAGAAAGGTCATTTTCCCTCTGTGAATATTTGACAACCCTTGAAAAAACGCGATCTTTTACAATATTTTGTTTTTATTCATCGCGTTGCCATATGGCAACGCTAGTATCTACAGGCATCTTGTTTTTTCAGGCGGGGTTTCTCTCTACAAGAAGCTTTGAACATGGTTTACGAAGATGACGTCAACGTTAGAAATATTTATGTTGAGTCCCCAAATATTGGAGACCTCACTGATGAAGATTCTGGCGAGGAGGATGGGGGAGGATTCATCGACAATCTGTCTAGAAAACAGCTGGAAGCAAATGTTGAGGTGCAAATGTATGGCGAAGAAGCAGACAAGGAGGATGACGACATCGAAGAAGATGCAGTTCAAGCGATGGATATTTCCCAGGAAAGCAGCGGAAGTTTCATCCCACAAACTACCTCTCAAGTGAAGAAAATTGAATACGAGTCCCTAAATTAGATAACGGGTGATTTGGTCGACAATGCCGCTAGTTTCCCAGAATATAGCTACGAACCATTCAATACGTTGACACCTGTCGAGATGTTCGAATTATTTTTCGACGAGGATATAATTAGTTACATTCTCAACCAATGCATGAGTTATGCACTACAGAACAACTTTCCCGACCCCAAAATTTCCGCAGGAGAAATGAGGTGTTTCTTTGCCATTTTGATTCTATCGGGGTATAATTGGCTCCCGGGAAAAAAATTTTACTGGGATACGAAAGGCGATATGGGTAATGCAATGGTCATGAACGCTATGCAAAGAGATCGGTTCCTTACAATTTGGCGTTTTTTCCACCTTGCAAATAATGAAGCCATCGATGAAAGGGACAAATATTACAAGATCAGACCCTTAGCTGACTATTTACAGAAAAAATATAAAGAATATTACGTCCCTGAAGGCGAATTAAATTACGACGAATCTATGGTGAAATACTTTGGACGCCACTCATGTAAACAGTTCATAAAAGGAAAGCCGATTCGTTTCGGATACAAAGTTTGGTGCCTCAACACTAAAAGTGGGTATCTTGTAAGCTTCAACATGTACCAAGGAACCGATCCCAAAGCAAATAATCATTATTATAAAGTTTTTGGAGCATGTGCGGCTCCATTCGTCACAATGCTCGATGAACTGCCCAATGATAAATCAAGATTACCCTACAAATTTTTCTGCGACAATTTATTTACGAGCCTCCACCTTTTGAAACATATAAAGGATCGTGGCTATAGCCTTACCGGAACAATACGGGAAAATCGCATTCCCAAAAACTGCCCTATAGAATCGAAAGCTAATATGCACAAACGCAAAAGGGGTGATGTAGAGTCGATTCTCGAGAGAGAAACTGGTATTATAGTTGTAAGATGGTTGGATAACAGCGTCGTAAAGTGTAGCGTCAACATGTTATGGGGTGGAACCACAATCGCTCGTGAAAAGATATTCACAAGCTGAAAAGAAAATCATCCAGGTTCAAAGTCCATGCCTGATTGGTAAATATAATAATGCAATGGGGGCACCGACCTAATGGACGAAAATATAAACCGCTTTAGAATAGGAATGAGGGCAAAAAATGGTACTGGAGCTTGATTACCTGGATGCTAGATGCGACTATATAAAATGCGTGGGTGCTACATAAAAAATCCGGCAACAAGTTGACACAGTTAGAGTTTAGATGTGAAATTGTGCAAGCCTATCTGACCAAATACGGAGTGCCTGCAAAACAAGGTGGCCGACCGTCTAGTTCACTCTAAGTCGTTCCTTTCATACAGTATCTGATGATATTAGATACGATGGAGTTGGGCATTTACTGGAACCAGTACCAAATAAAAAGAAAATTAGGTGTGCAGGTGAAGAATGCAGGTCGATCATGAGAACAAGATGCGCCAAATTTGAAGTAGGTTTGTGCACAAAGTGTAATGTTAAATTTCATACACAGCTATAGAAAGTTTTTGCCGATTATCTCTCAATTTCATAGAATATTTTTTACTTTTATTTCATTCGGTTAATGTAGCCATAGGAACCTAGCGTTGCCATTTGGCAACAGGCAATATTTTTAGGTTTTAATATATTTAATAATTATTTTTGTCTTTTTCTAAGTAAGTTTTGTCCATTCATAAGAGTTATTAGTATTATTTATGTAAAATAAAGATTTTGAAAACTTCGTCCTTCATGGGTTAAATAAAATCAATGAAGTCATAACAAAAGAACTATTAAATGCAAGCTCAGAAGTGGCAACCGCCAACAGAAAACGAAAATTAAACATAAGTATAGAATCACAAAACATGCTGATACAAAGAAAAGATCTTCTGAGACAAAACAAAAGAGACACTGCAGAATTTAAGGAACTTAATGTAGTAATCAAGCCGTCCTGCAAGGAAAAATATTTGGAAAGCGAGGTCCAGGAAGAAGAACATCTTAGTTGAAGAACCTCAGTATCTGGTTCAATACAACATCTGTGCAGCTTTTCCGCGCTGCGGCAGATAAGATAAAGAATGCCATGATGATCGCCAACATTCGTAACGGATAGGCACATCAAGAAGAAGAACAATGTAGTAATAAGCAAACAGATAAAAGGGTACAACACCTGTGACCATCTATACACTTTAAAAATCCCAATAGAATAGACTAACGAATACAATCTCCCATTATGTCTGGCTTTTATAGATTATGAAAAAGCTTTTGATAGCGTGAAACTGTGGGCAATAGAAAAGGCAATAGTCAACAACCGGATCGACTTCAGGTTTCTTCTTCTTAAAGTTCCATCTCCTATCGGAGGTTAGATATCATAACGGCTATGGTCACTTTGTTGGCTGCTGCTCTGAAAAGTTGTAGTGAACTACAGTTAAACCATTCTCTAAGGTTCCTCAGCCAGGAGATGCGTATTCTTCCTGTGCTTCTTCTTCCTTGGATCCTTCCTTGCATAATAATTCTCAGCAGCTCATATTTTTCTCCTCTGGTTATGTGACCCAAATACTCTAGTTTTCTTCTTTTTATGCTGTTTATAATTTATAACTCCTTTTTTAGACGTCGTAGTACCTCAGCATTGGTAATCCTTTGAACCCACTGAATTTTTAACATTATTCTGTAACACCACATTTCGAACGCTTCTATTTTTCTTATGTGTTGTTTCTTCAATGTCCAAGCTTCCATTCCGTATAGTAAGATAGAACATATGTAACATCTTAGAGCCCTCAATCTGAGATGCAACTGAAGGTCTCTGTTGGTAAGCATTGTCTTCATTTTCACAAATGCTTGCCTTGCCTTTTCTATTTGGGTTTGCTCTATCAATCTTTCATTTCCATGTTGCGTTTTTGAGACAATCATAAATTTAGTTTTTACTCCTATTTATTTTTAGTCCGTATCTAATGCAATAATCGTTAATTCTATTTACCAATTCTTGTAGCGATTCCAGGGTGTGTACCATTATAACGGTGTCATCAGCGAATCTTATGTTATTTACTATTCTTCCGTTTACAGAGATTCCATCACCCAGATCCGCTATCGCTTCCTGGAATATGGCTTCACTGTACACGTTAAACTGTCTTACTTCTCTTTTTATATCTATATTTTTGGACTTTTGTTCTTCTATCTTTATATTGGCTTTTTGATTCCAATACAGATTGATAATGATTCGTAAGTCTCGTCTGTCTGTATCTTTGTTTCTCAGTACTTCTATTAGTTTTTCATGTCGGACCCTGTCGAATGCTTTCTCGAAGTCGATGAAACATCAATAAATATCTAGGTTCATATCTAAGCATCTTTGAGAGAGGACGTTAAAAGCAAACAATGCCTCTCTCGTTCCCAGTCTCTTGCAGAACCCAAACTGAGTGTCATCCATATCCTCTTCTAGTTTTCTATATAATCTTCCATGAATCACCTTTAGAAATATTTTGAGGGTATGGCTTATTAGTGATATTGTCCTATAGTCTGAACAATCTTTGGCATATACTGTTTTTGGTATTGCTACAAAGGTGGACACCAACCATTCCTGTGGGATTTTTCCGGTTTTATATACTTCATTAAACAGGTCCAGAAGTACAGGTAGAGTTTCATCGTCTAGACATTTTAGTAGTTCCGCAGGTATTTCGTCTGGACCTACAGTTTTTCCGTTTTTTGCGTTTCGTATTGCTTGTTCGATTTCCTCTATTATGATCTCTGGCCTCGTTTGGCTGTCGATTTCTTCCGGTTCTTGTCGATTATGCTCAAACAGATCTGTTATGTATGTCTTCCATTTTTTTAATTTCTATAATGATTTTTCCATTTGCGTCTTTCAGAAGGGCATCTTTCTTTTTTCTCAGTGTATTTGGTATAGAATACTAATACATAATATTTACGAACAAGCTGAAATGATAGTGACATTGGGTAATGGAATCGAAACAAGACCAGTAAAAATCAACCGAAGAGTAAGACAAGGAGACACAATATCTCCAAAATTATTTACAGCTGCCCTAGAAGACAATAAATTTAAGTTATCAAAAGCTAGAAATGAGACGACATTTTAAGAGACTTTAATTAAAAAATTGGAGCAGGTATTAATAGGACAGTTAGGACTAGGAACATAGAACTCTGATAAGAAAAGAATATGGTTATTACTAATATTTGGTTTGACCTACCTAAAAGAAGAATATACACATGGACGTCTCCTTCACGTAGATCTTGTTTAGATTATTATATACAGCAGATATAAAATCTGTATAACTATAACACTGATACTAGTATACTTTGTTTTGTACTTACGTTCTTATTCTTGTGGCAGTCAAGAGTTTGGAAGTTTGGATCGTTATCTGCAACAACCCACTCACCAACAGCTTTGTCTCCTTCTCTAACCTCTAGCAATAATCCTTTAAATAGACCACTGATGGTGATTTCTACTTGTTCTCCACCTTTTACTTCGTTTTTGCTCAGACCGAACTTGTATGGGATTTCTGACGCCTGTGGATTAAAGGGATGCTTTGGTGTCATGTCGTCACATACTTCTAGGGGCGCTCCAGTGGAGTACGCATGGGTGTAGTAGACTACAGAGAGGAGGACTAGTAGTTTGAACATTCTGTGAACAATACATATTGAAAATACCTTTTCGTAGAACAAATAAATTGATATTAAGAAATAAACGGTATTTCTTCATATGCCGACTTATAATTAAAGTAGGATTAAGGTCTAAGAGTACTCTACTAAGTCTGAATTTTAAACCGGTTAATTTTAGCACTTTTTGAGACCAAAATCTCGTCTCTTAAAAAATTAAATCTCTTGCGACAGGAGACAATTGACATTGATTTATCGAAAGGCAATTCCTCAATAATATGGACTCACTGAGATTACCTATTTCTTCGGATTTTGAAAATTTCTATTGTAATAAAACTTGTCAATTTCTATAAAGCTGTTCAATTTTATTATAGGGTTTATCTGCATTATAGTTGTAAAAACTAAATGCCTGACAATAAGAAAAAACGCATTTTTAAGAGTACAACTGGAAACAGATAATGTTCCAATCGAGCAAGTGAAACATTAAAATTTTTGGGAATGATGAGGAATGATCAACGGATACGGGATGCTCAAGATGAAATGACAAGCAAGACAAGCTTTTATTAAATTTAAGCCGCTACTATGTAACCGCAATATTTCCTTCAATATCCGTTTCAGGATGGTTAAATGTTATGTATGGTCCAAATTATTATACGGCATGGAGATATATATATATATATATATATTATATATATATATATATATATATATATTATATATATATATATATATAGACCCCTATCTTCCATGGCACCTTTTACTTCTTGTCTCCACGATCTTCTTGGTCTTCCCTTTTTCCTGCGGTTGGTGGGGATCCACTGTAACATTCTCTTTGGCCATCGTTGATCATTCCTTCTTTCTACATGGCCATACCATTTCAGCCTTTTGCATTTTATAGTTTCCAGGATGTCAATGTCTATGCCCATACGCTCTCTGATTTCAGTATTCCTTACTCTATCTCTTCTAGTGTGTTGGCAACATCTTCTCCAATAATTCATTTCCATTGCTTTTATTTGAGCCAAAACTCTGAACCATATGTAGCAATGCTTTCTATGATACTTTTGTATATCCTAATTTTTGTGTTTCGGGTGATGTGGTTATTCCAAAGTATACTATTCAGTTGACGTATTGCTGAATTTCCTGGACCAATTCTAGTAGCTATTTCTTTTGTATTCCGACAATTGTTTGTAATGTTTACACCGAGATATTTATAGCTATCAGTATTTTGAATTTGTTTGCTTCCTAGTTCTAAGTGCTTTCCTTCACCTTCCACTACTATGTACTCTGTTTTTGATGGCTTAATTGATAAGCCCCACTTAGTATATTCTTCATCTATTTTTCGTAATATGTAGTGTATAGCATCTTGATCTTCTGCAAGTATTACTTGGTTAGGAAAATGCAAGCTCTACAGTGTATGGTCTCCAATTTTAACACTCATAGGTTCACATTTTCTTTTCCAAATATCCAAAACCCCCTCCAAATAAATCTTAAAGAGTGTAGGTGCAATGCAGCAGCCTTGGCGAAGTCCTTTGGTCACTTTTATCTTTTTTGTCACTTTTTGTCCAATCTTTATTACACTCGTCATATCATCGTACAACTCCCTTACAGCATTAATGTAATTCAGTGGAATATTCTTGTCTTCTAGCACCTGCCATAGCTTGGCTAATGGGACACTGTCATACGCTTTTTGAAGATCAATAAATACCATGTGTATCTCCATATTACGTTCCACATGCTTTTCTATTGTTTGTTTTAGGCAAAACACATTGTCTATACAAGAACGACCAGTACGAAATCCACTCTGATCTTCAGCATCTTCCCAACGGCAAGGAGATATGGGTAAGTAATATGGACTTAACTAATTACCCAAGGAAATATTGAGGGCAGTAAGTAGGTCCTAGACAAATGTCGTGACTAGAGAAAATAAAGGACTGGACGGACATAAATAACACTGACGAGCTTTTGCATGCCGCATTCGCCAACGCACTATTAGAAGAAGAAAGTTTATCTGCTGTTGGTGCTTACTTGTGGTAGGTTAATATTAATTGGGCTAACTTCTAGTTGTATTTCATTCTACTTCAGTGTCATGTTAGAAGACCTACTACGGCTAGACTGTAGGTCTGCCGTAAATTTTGGCGAATGTTCTGTAATGAACTGTTTCGCCTGTCTTTGTCCTGGTGAATTCCTCCACCATTCCAAAGATTTGTGAGCTACCCACTTCCTTGTAGCCGTTCTTATTACTGTTTTTGCAACGCCGCAGAAGGGTTCCGGTCCAATAAATGGGATTGATGAGCCTTGTTTTTGTAACCTTGCTACGATCTTCTAATTTATTTAGGGCACATACACAATCCCATACTAGCTTAGAATTGACCTCTACAGAATTGAGTGCCTTAGGCGCTGCCTGACTATCTGTGAAGATGGCATCTGAACGGAACGTTCTTTCCTGCCTTTCTATTTCTTCCACGCAGTGATGGATTGCCGATATTTCCGTGTGAAAAACTGTCACATCTTTAGATAGACTTACCGGAAAAGGTATCCCTTGATTTGTCTCTACTATGCCGGCTCCCACACCCTCCGCTGTTTTTGAACCATCCGTGTATTAGGTAGTAGCAGCTTGTATAGGTGCACCTTCATTCCAGTCTTCCCTGTCTGTAGTTGGACCAGTAGATTAACAGACTTCTCAGTACATATTTATTATATTTAGCATTCATGTTCGTATGCTATTATTAACTTAAGAGATTTGGATTTTGAGTGAACTTTGGTACTGCAGTCATATGTCAAGAACATTGAATTATACTTTAATGGAATTGTTTTATAGGTCAAACCTTTTATTTCAATTACCAGACTATTTAAACAGTACCATCAGCATACTCGACATTTTAATTAATATCATTTATATTCAATAAAATAATTCAATGTCTAAAATAAAAAAAAATGTTGGTCATTATAAATAATTTGCTTGAAAATAATTAAGTATGATAATTAAGATAGCAATCGTGTTAATTATCTAGAACCGAATATGAAAAATTAAATTATTTCCACTTATTTGTTCTTTTTAACGCATCTTAATGACAGTATTTAAATATGATTTTAATTATCCTTGAAGTCACTGAAACGAGAAATAATAAGTTCAACAATTAACAAATTATCCTTTAACACCGCAAGGCATTTAAAAAATTACTCATTTGATTTATTTCCGAGAGCTATTACTATTCTTATGCCGCCATATAAATGACCGCGGTAATTAAAATATAATAACATCTAATCTACAAACAAAACACAATGGAAACAAAGTGCTAGTAAGTACCTAGCATATTTTAGCTTTAGTGAGTTATTGACGAAAACGCGAGAAAATTTTCTAAAGAATGAGAATGAGAACATTCAATTAACAGATAAAATGAGGAATTTAAGCTTCGAAGAGGTTGGTACCAGCACCAATAGGTTGTGGTAACATTAGATGGAATTCGCACGGATGCGCAACAGATAAGTAGAGGTGTGAGACAAGGCTGTGCACTTTCACCATTACTATTTAATATTTACTCCGAAGAATTATTTATATAAGCACTTAAAAACTGTACAGAAGGGATCAAGATAAATGGTGAAAATATAAATAACATTCGTTATACCGACAATACAGTCATTATCGCTGAAAGGAAGAAAGACCTACAGACGCTACTAGACACAATTTATGATACTGGGGAACAGTTTGGTTTAAAATTAAACATGAAGAAAACAAAATCCATGGTTATCAGCAAGTCGGAATATACCTTCAAGAGGTGACAGAAATCTCCAGTTCCTGGGGAAATAGATCTAGTTCTAGGGTTGTGCAGGGATGTTACTCATAAGTAAATCCATCAATTAATAGAAATGGCCTGGCAACAAGAAATAATGCCGAAAGAATGGTGTGGTAGTATTATTGTACCGATACACAAGAAAGGGAAAAAGGAATCATGCATGAATTACAGAGGAATCTCACTAATTAACACTACATATAAAATATTGGCTTCGATATTATTAAAAAGATTAGTACCATAAGCTGAAGAAATAGTTGGTGACTACCAGTGTGGTTTCAGGCCTGGCAGATCGACTATTGATCAAATATTTACAATAAGACAAATGCTTGAAAAGTATTGGAAATATAATCACGACGTGCATCAGATTTTTATAGACTTCAAATAAGCTTATGATTCAATTAATCGTGCAACATTATGGAAGACAATGATCAAACTCGGCGTGCCCAAGAAACTAGCTGCGGTAACACAAATGTGTGTAAGTAACTCTTTTGCGTAAGTTAGAATAGGGGGAAGAATATCAAAGGCTTTCTGCGTAAATTCTGGACTAAGACAGGAAGATCCGTTGTCCCAATTGTTGTTTAATCAATCAGTAGCACAATCAACATTAGAAATTAAGGATATTTTCTCGAGCTTTGAAAACGCTGCATTAAACATCGGTCTAAAAATAAATGAAGACAAAACAAAATACTTTGTCGTCTCAAAACAAGAACGACGGCGAATAAGGCAAAACATTACTATAAATGATGAAAACTTCGAAGTGGTTAAAGAATTTAAATATCTAGGAGCAACAATCACAAATGACAACAAATTAGAGCGAGAAGTTGAAACGAGAATAATGGCAGGAAACAGATCTTTCTTTGCAATGCAACATCTAATGAAGTCAAAAATTCTTTCACGAGGTACAAAAATCCGGATACATAAGACCATAATACGACCAGCAGTCGCGTATGGAAGTGAAACATGGACGCTAACAAAAACAGAAGTAAATAAATTGCTGGTGTGGGAAACTAAAATTCTTCGAATGATATATGGCCCTTGCAGAGACAGCGTGACAAACGAATGGAGGGGCAGATACAATAACGAGCTAGAGTCTCTATTCGGAAAAGAAAATCTAGTCAGATATATAAAGGCCAATAGACTCAGATTGGCAGGGCACGTGATACGCAGTAACGACAATCGTCTTATAAACAATGTGTTCTGGGAAAGGCCAGATGGAAGAAGGTCTCTAGCA